GTTAATAATGCTAATATTCAAATCAACAAAATGAAGTTGTAAATATCAATGAAAACCAAATTTATCGACCTGAAGCAACTCCTGCTGTTAATATTTCAAGACAAATTGAAACTGAAACTCAAATTAGCATATTATCATCTGCAGACTACCGTGACCCTGCAAATTGGCCTACTCATTTTAGTGACAATTTTTGGCAATTTGTTATAAAAAATAGACCGCAACAAATTGAAAAATATAACTTTCCACGAGATCGAGATGAACAAAAAAGAAAATTTTCATCAATCTATTACAAGCGGACATTACCAAATGAAGAAGAAGTCTCTCGTTCTTGGCTTATATATTCAGTTTCAAAAAATGTAGTTTTTTGTTTATGTTGTAAATTATTTGGTAAAAGCAAAAGTAGTTTGCCGGCTTTAGAAGGTTCAGGTTTAAACGATTGGAAGAATATTGGAGCACTTCTTTCTTCTCATGAAAAAAGTAATTCACATCTCGTAAATTTTCAAATGTGGAAAGAACTTGATATACGTTTATCTACATAAAAAACCATTGATCATATTAACCAACAAAAAATTAATGAAAAAGAACAATATTGGCAACAAATTTTAGAAAGATTAATTGCCTTAGTCAGAGTACTGGCTACGCAAAACTTGGCATTTCGTGGAACAAATGAAAAACTTTACAATAACGCCAATGGTAATTTTTTAAAATTTGTTGAGTATCTTGCTTTATTTGACCCATTAATGAATGAACATGTGCGGAAAATTAAAAATCAAGAAATTAAAACTGCTCATTATCTTGGAAAAGAAATTCAAAACGAATTAATACAAATACTAGCAAATGCTATAAAAGATAATATCTTGACTAGAGTAAAATTTGCTAAATATTATTCTATCATTTTAAACTACACCCCAGATAATAACCATACAGAACAAATGACAATAAAAATTCGTTTTGTTGATTTAGAATCACCAACATCGCATGATGGGGATTTAGTTAAAATTAAAGAACATTTCTTAGGATTCATACCTGTGGAGAAATCTACAGGTGGTTTTTTGGCTAAAACATTAATTGAACAATTGGAAAATTTTAATTTACCAATTGAAAATCTCCGTGGACAAGGATACGATAACGGAAGCAACATGAAGGGTAAGGAGAATGGGGTACAAAGAAAAATTTTGGATATAAATCCTCGCGCGTTTTTTATTCCATGCAGCGCACATTCACTAAACTTAGTTGTGAATGATGCATGCAAGTGTAGCTTAGATCCAATAAGTTTTTTTGGTGTAGTGCAACAGATTTATAGTTATTTTTCGGGATCACCTTCTCGTTGGCAAGTTTTTCGTAGCTATTTTCCAGATTTTACTGTCAAGTCATTAAATGATACAAGATGGGATAGCCGCATTAATGCTTTAAAACCATTACGATACAATCTCGGAAAAATTTACGATGCTTTAATGAAAATATTTGAGGATCCAAGATTACAAACTACATCCGTAAGAGATTCTTTCCGAAATGCTTCCTTCATGATATTTATTCTATAAGTTCAAAATCTTCAGCAGAATTATTGAAAAATTGTAGAAATCTAGAAGTAATTTTAACACATGGTTCTCAAAAAGATATTAGTGCAGCGGATCTTTGTAATGAAATCAAAGTACTTTCTGGAAGACTCCCACAACAAATGACACCACATGAAGTACTAACTTTTATAGTTGAACAACGTTTAATTGACTGTCTACCAAATATATGTATTTCTTTAAGAATACTGTTAACACTTCCAGTGTCCGTTGCTAGTGGCGAGCGAGGTTTTCGAAGTTAAAAATAATTAAAAATTATTTGAGGTCGACAATGTTACAAGAACGACTGGTGGGATTATCAATAATTTCTATAGAACACGAAGAATCATCAATATTAAATTTGAAAGAAATTTGCAACAAAAAAAGCCTGAAAAATAAAAATTTAAATATGCTTTTATTTTTATTATTATATATTTTCAAAATACAAATGAACTTTCTAGTTTCTGAAATTCAAACTCTCTAATAATTCAAATATCAAATCAAAAACAAGTTTTTTTATTCTTTGTAACTATATTATATTCCAAGTTTTCAATTTTTATTCCTAATTCTAGATTATTACTTGTTATTATTTCTTGAGATAAGCTAGGTTAATTATTATTATTTTGGTGCGATTAAATATTTGGAATAGTCTTCATTAATTCTATTAAATGTTACTTTTATTCTTTGAATGTCATAAAATCTCAAATATTTTTATTCTTGTAAATAAAAGTTTAGTGGCTAAAATCCTAAAATGTCAAAAATAAATATTTAATACTTAAATATGTCCACCATTTTAAAATGTTTATGCCATTTTAAATAAAATTAATATTTATGTTTTTGCTCTTTCAAATCAAAATATTTTTTTTCGGAGGGAGGGGGGGGGGTTGGAATTTTATATATATATATATATATATATATATATATATATATATATATATATATATATATATATATATATATATATATTGTGTAAAATTAAATAATAACACCTGGTAGTTAAAGAAACAACTCCGAGTTTTACGCCTACGGCAATCATCAGATGTTACAAATAAACTTAACGATAAAAAAATAATTACAAAAATACTGTGCAGTGTCCGCTTTGATGACGTTTAAGTTTTTTATAAAAAAATTGTTTTCATGGAAACATTTTGATACCAGTTTATTTCTTTTGTTTAATAATTTTAATTTTGATGTTAATATGTGGTACTTCTCAGTTAAGCAAAGGTTGCATAATTTCTTCCGGGTTCGGACGGTTGCGCTTTATCGATAATTTTCCATGTTATAATAGGATTTTTATATTCCTTTTTTTTAATTTTCCACATAAACTTGGAAAGCTCCGTTGAGAAATTGCTTTGTTCTCGTATTGGAATGAGTTTTTGTATCTGTACCAACGGTCTTTAAAAAAGTATTCTCTGTTAGTCTAATATAATTGAATCCGCTATCTTTGGTGAAGTTTTTACGTGACAGCTGTATACTTTATTTTTTTGGAAGCATTTTTTCCCAAAGGGCATTGTGAGTTTGTTGGCAGTTGAATTGTTGTTTGGTTGAGGCGTTAGTTCCAAATGAAATATTTTTATTGTGAGCTTGTGATAATTTTTTTGATGTTAGGAAATCAGCTGTAGCTTACTTATAAGTTGTTCTTGTTGAAGATTTTATAAAAATTATGACATTTCCGATTTTTGATTTTAATAAATGAATACATTTAAAACAGATTAATCCGCCACTGTTTTAAATGTATTAATTTATTCAGGTCACAAACTACAGGCAAAGAAAATTGTTTCCGCAAAGAAATGCAAATTGTTTACATAATTTTTGTCAGTACATCCACAATGTCAAGAAGATATTGAGTCGAGTTTACAGAGGGTTTTTTTTAGCTAAATTTAAGAAAGTTCTTGCAACATTTGTTCTTACGTTAAGCGCAAAAAGAGTTACGTGATCTTGATTTTGATTTTGTTGCGGTATGATTTAGTTTATAAAAGATTGTTTTTTGATAACCATTAAAAGCCAATCCATTTTTATAAAAAGGTGCAGCTTTGTCAAAAACGTCTTTGTTGGATAAATTATTGCTAATTTGTTTGGACAACATGATTGGTATGGATTCGATAATCTTCGAAGGGAGGTTAGAATTTACGTTAATGTACAGTGGATGGTCAGCTGGTTTTCTGTATTGTTGAAAGGAACAATCCGATAAAGAAAACGTAACATCTAAAAAGTTTGATTTTACAATTATAATTGTAAAATATTGTATCCTTTTTAAGGATAAATTCAATCTATAATTAATTAATTATAGATTGAATTTATCCTTTAAAAGGTTGACAAGGTTGTTCTTTATTTTTTCTGATTCTGGTCCACTAACTTTATGAAAACAGACCCACCATCTCTATACAATTCATTCGATTGCAACCTTATAGTATGCAGGATATAAAGATCAACAAGTTCGCACAACTTTGCCCCGTCAAAATTTCCCATAGTGACGTCAAAGTTTGAGTCACCAATTTTCTTAACCCACATCTTGTTGTGATCAGTAAAAAGCAAAGATTTTCTTAAGTGATTTATAACGCCAAGTGTTTTGACTGATATTTCTGTGTATTGTTCAGCGTGATGTAAAGATTCATGAAGTAGTTATTGCGAGATCGATGGATAAAACTCGTTAATGTCAAGCTGGATAAAAAATACTATTTTTTTTTGACTAGAATATTATTAAACCATTTATCACGCTATTTGTGTTATATCACTGGTTTACAAACGTGGCTTTTATCACTATATTATTGATATTTTCAATATAAATTTTACTCCCTTTTCCAAGTTGCGGTTTAGATGGGTATTATACTTTCTCAATATTACACAAAATTTAAAAATATCTTTTTTATTCAATCTTCTTTTTGTTTTGTAATCTTTAGTTGAATCAACATCTAGTTCAAATAATAGTGTGACATTTTCAAAATGACTTTAAAAGATATAAAGTAATAAAATAATTATAAATGACATTAAGTAGTTACAAACGGCAAAATAATTATAAATGGAGTAAAGTTGCTTTTTTGTTTCTATACTTTATATATACATAAGATTATACATTACATTGTTTCAATATAAATAAAAACTGTAATATGTTTGTTGCATTAACAACTGTTAACAATAAAAATGCCAAATATTATACGTTCTCAATATGACATAAAGTTTAAAATTATCTTTTTTATTCATTTTTCTTTTTGTATTGTAATCTTTAGTTAAATCATATATACTTTTTCAAAATGATTTTTAAACGATATAAAGTTATTGAAGTATTAAAATGAACTAAATAAAGTAATTACAAACGGCAAAATAATTATAAATGGCGTAAAGTTGCTTTTTTGTTTCATACACTTTTTATTTTGAATTCAATTGACGCATGGGAACAATGACACGGTTGTATGAAAAATAATTGTAAATGGCCATTTATAAGATTATATACTATTGCGTTTTTTAATTGTTTTCTTTAATGAGAACAGTATTTTGTACCATTGGTAATGTTGTATTTTATATGCATTTAAAATGAATTTAAACGACATAAAAATTGAAGATGTATTTTAAATTTATCATCGTTTTTATTTTGTTGTCTTAGTGGAACCACATTTAGTAACAGAGGTAAAAAATAACAGAGGTAAAGTTAGATATCGTATCTTTTCAATACAAGTATCTTTCCATGAATTTTAAAATGGGTCATTAGCTAATTATTCCTTTTATTTGCATGCTTTAAGTTTTATTTAATATTATTAATAAATGTTGACATCTAATTTATTCAAAATAATGCTAAACATTATATTAGTTTAAAATAGTCATAAATAGGATACCTTTTAAAGATATTTTTTGTTTGTTTACTATTTTTTTATTTTGGTAGTAGCAATGGACCGTTGCTAGTAGCAAAACTTTTTTTTTAATTATAAAACATAGAGTTTAATAAAATGAATTTAAATCATTAGGCTCTTAATTCAGTAAGTATCTAATTGTTTCTAATCATCATTCTAACTGTCATTACTTTGAAATCTTTTGAATTGTCTTTGCATTTCAATTTATTATAAAACCTGTAATGAACTAGGGAAGTAAACTGTAGAACTGATTTCAAATGTAGAAGTTTAAGTTCAGTAATAACTCTGCTAACCTGACTTTTCAGATTCATTTTTAGAAACAGAGACATTTTAACAAAGACAGCAACAGACTCATCCCGACAAGAAATTTTCATGTGAACCATATATGGCAATTGCATGTTAACCATATATTTACCACTCTCCTTTATGGGATGACTTTAATGCGTTACATATGTGCCTATAATATTTATTCCACTAAAACCACACTAAATTTACGAAAGCCATTCTTCATTTTTGCATGAAAGTTTCTTGTGGCCCACGTGTGGTAAGCGTATGTTAGCCATATATTTACCACTCTTCTTTATGGGATGACGTTGGTGCGTTCCATATGTGGCTAAAATATTTATTCCATTAAAACCACAATAGTTAAGAACGAAAGCCGCATCATTTTTCTACAAGAAAGTTATAACAAATTCATAAACAAATCTTCTGACTTGTTTAAATATCACATTTAAACAAGTCAGTAGATTTGTTTATGTACAGATAAAATATCCAAATAATTATACATATATACCTGTACAAATAAGTGTCATTTTGTATTTATACTTATTTGTACCAGTTAAAAAACTTAAATGGAAAAACATCATACTTTTTGCTTTTACTTATAATTTTATTTACAGATAAATATATACGTACAATAAATTTTCATTAAATTTAAAAAATTCATTTTGTATTAGTTCTGTACACAAAACTAATCTGATGAAACATGCAATGAAGACCCAATGTTTTCTTTAAACTCTTTATCTAGTATTCTTACAATGTCTTCGAACAGTTGCTAAAGATAGTTACATATGAAATCCATTTACAAACAAAATTGAGAGAAAAAAATTAATAATAACGAAAGCTTGCTTACATTGCCTGCCATTTTAAAATCTAATGTTGTTTTTTAGTAACAAATACAATGTATTAAGATATTTTTATCTTCGTTGAGTATAACTCTGATTACAATTTTTTTTTCGTTAAGTATAACTCTGTTTAGAATAAGCATAACTTAAGTATATCTCGTTAAGTATAACAACACATTTTTATTCGTTAATTGTAACTCTGATTTTTAAATTTAATTAAAAGTTTATTTTGAATAACAATTCTCTCTTGCAACTATGAATTGAAAATTATCAAAACTGTAAACCACATGATATCATGGAATATTCAAGAGTTTACTACAATAGATTGCAATGGAATTGTAGTTTACAATTGGTTAAAACTTAAAATTCAAAATGAGGCAAGATTGTGTGTTTTATTTGTATGGCCTATATGATAGCCACACCTAATTTAGCACGTATTCATTTAAGGATTATACCTGCATTAGTTACGAGGTTGCATTATGTCTTCCACATGTGGGCCACACTGATCTTTAACATATATATCAATCATCAACTAAAATATAGTTTTACACTTTTATTCCCCTTTTAAGCACTATGACCACATGTGGCGCCACATATTCTTTTCTTATCGTGATGTTCCTTAAAAAAATAGGTTTAAACGCCTGGATAATCATTAAACAACAAGTGAAGTATTTAGGTAAATGGATTCAAACTATTGGTTGTTAAACTAATACTCAATTAGAAAATTTGAAAAACCAAAAGAGTATTTTTACATAAGAAACAATTCTTAGGTTTTACATAAATGCTAACAATATAAAGTAAAGTTCTTTAAAAAATTAAGTTTTAAAAAGAACTTTACTTTATATGAAATTTTTTTTGCAAAACAATCGTTTTGACAAGCAATTTAATGTTTGTAGCCAGAAATTTACAAGACTTACCACTTTATTTGGATTAAAACCAATTTACTGAATGTAGTGACTTAGTTACATTTTTATTAAACAACAAGGCCGCAAGCAACCGCTATTTAAGTTGGGAGTCACCAAAAAACAAAAAATATGGCGAAAAAGTATGAAAACTGTATTAGTTGGAAAAACATAAAGACGGCAAAGAACTTTAAAGCTTTAATGTGTGAGGGGAAAAAATTAGTTCAATAAACGTTTTGAGAGCATCAAGATACAAATACAGTAAAAAGATGCAACATTTATAGAAGTAGAGAAAAGTGTTAAGAGTAAGGAAGTAACGAGCATTATAAAATATGCATTAATATGAATAACAACACAGAACCAGGTGAAAATATTGTGGTAACCAGAAGACTGGAAACCAGAAGCGTTACCTAGAAACGGTTAGAAATAAGTAATATAGCAATTTTTAAGATTTTTTTTAGATGCATTAAAAAAAAGACCAGCTGGTTATAATTTATTAAAATCCAATCGCTTCCATCTAATGAATAACTGTAGATTAACCTGTTTCTTTGAGATGACAGAAGGGTTTAAGATTAAGTAAAGTTACTCCTAGAAGGCACAACTAAATTTTCTCGCGCTCAAACTTTTGATTTTTATAACATTGTATACCACACCAATTCTAACAATAATGGCAGATTAGATATCTTGAAAGTTTTTACTCTGCATCAATTATATTTTTTATAATTAAACTTTACATTTTCTTGAAAATGCTTTTTTATTTTTACGTTTAATTGAATACTTAGTCGTATAAATAATAAAAAAGATGAGCCAACTATTTATTTCAAACGACTGTTTTCAACTTTGTTGAGAATTTCATTGACGAAAGCAATAGTTTAGCTAAATTAAATGCAGAGTCAAGTAAACAAAATTAAATTAAAACTAGCATTTATATAGAAAAACGTTTAAATATTGTTCAGAAAAAAGAAAAAAGTAGAATAATATAAACTTTTTGTTATGATATAAGATCAAATGAGACTTAAAACACTATTCTTTGTTTAAAAGGCAAACAAAAGTGCATCTTCTCAATTCCTGACAGACATAATATGATATATATAAAGTTTTTTATTTTATTTTACGTTTGTTCGCTTTAACTTTGTTTAAATTTTGAATACTAAAAATTTTTTAGAAAGGTTTGTCCTAAAAATATGAAATGAACTACTACAGTTTTTTACCACAGTACTGTGTATATTATCTCTTTTGTTAACGTTAGTCTTTCTTATGGCATAGAATATCGGCTTTACCTTACTGAGACTATTACTATGTTCCTAGCCGGCACAACTCAGAAAAATACTTCGTTTCTGTTGCGCGTTTTGAACCTTCTTAAACAAAAGAATAACCCGTGCTAAAAATGGTTTCGATTCCGTAAAATTAACTATTACTATTTACTAAAAATAACAGTTAAAATATTAACCAAACGTATTTTTGGTTTACGCCTGGATCAAACATTTGTCTATGCAGGTTTTAATTCCGAAAGTAAAACAAGATAAGCTGGCTGGGTTATAGGTAAATGTAAATTTAACAAATCTAATAGCGAAACAGCTAGGAAAATGTAAAGTAATTTGTAACAACCAAAAAACATAGATAAATTAACTGTTGTGTTAAAATTATGTTTAATAAGCTAATTGTCCATTAATTCAGCTAAAGAAACCGATGAAGGTCCAATAAAAGAATGCCAAGAGTATTATAATTTATAGATTTATTTGCAAAATTTTAAATACTTTTATAAAAGTTTTTATAAATTAAATAAACAAATCCATAGTTTTACACTTTATATTATTCAAAACAGATTAAAATGGTTAAAGAACGAGTTCAAAATATAAAATCGTTTGACCTTTTTGAAGACACTAAAATATATATATATATATATATATATATATATATATATATATATATATATATATATATATATATATATATATATGTATGTATATATACATGTGACATGGTACTTTTCAAGTACTCACCCCCTCCCCCTTATTTTATTTGCAGAATCGCCTCGGATCTCAGATAAATCAAAACGTCCAAATTTGTTTCGACATTATACAAACTAATTGATAAATTGTTTAAAATAGTATTTTTTGTATAATCTTCAAATGGTTAATGGTCGATATACACAGTCGGCTACAATGTTTTTGTTTTTTTCACATTAATATTAATAATTAATATGCAATAAGCATAATTAATTATTTCATTTCAATTAAAAACTTTTCTAAGACATATACACATATTACTCCGCTATTATTATCGTTTTTAGTTTTTTTTTTAAAAGTAATGATTCAGCTACAAAGAAAAAACTAAAAACGATAATAATAGCGGAGTAATATGTGTATATGTCTTAGAAAAGTTTTTAATTGAAATGAAATAATTAATTATGCTTATTGCATATTAATTATTAATATTAATGTGAAAAAAACAAAAACATTGTAGCCGACTGTGTATATCGACCATTAACCATTTGAAGATTTTACAAAAAATACTATTTTAAACAATTTATCAATTAGTTTGTATAATGGCACATGTATATATATATATATATATATATTTATATATATATATATATATATATATATATATATATATATATATATATATATATATATATATATATATATATATATACATATATATATATATATATATATATATATATATATATATATATATATATATATATATATATATATATATATATATATATATATATATATATATATATATATATATTTCTACGAAGGTGTGTTGCGTAAGGAAAAAATCCCCCTGTATTTTTTTTACAGCGCATAAAATAAACGTTATATCAATATAATAGTTGTTTATAATATAAATATTTTATACATACGCATTATAATACAAACAGAACCTTAATCCTTTATTTTTCACCTATCGACTGGCAAATAGGTAGAACATGCAAGAAGTGTACAAATATCGACTTGCAAATAGATGGAATATGCAAAAAGTGTACGGATAATAGGTAAAGCATGCAAGGAATGTGCAAATACCGACCAACAAATTGGTTGAACATGTAAGGAGTGCCGCTACATTAATTGAGGCTTTTGGTTTGGGCAGGCAATCTATCAATTTCAAAACAATATTTATTTTAAAAATTTTATTTTTTGCGGTGAGATTTTTTCCGGGGGGATTTTTTCCTAGAACCTAAGTAACTACCGTAAAAATTTTTGTATACATTTTTTTCACACAACTCGGCATTGCAACTTGCAAATCTACTTCAGACTATAAATGTTATATCACATACTTTAATTAAAGTAGATTTAATAAATTAACCTGAAAAAAAAAAAAAAAATCAGTCGATCAAGATTAGATTTCGTTAGGGTTTTGAAAAATTAAATTCTTAAATAAACATAAATGGATGTAAGAAAATAAAAATTATCAAAATAAGACATAATAAAAAAAATTTTAGTTTGTTCAAATTAAATCGTTTGTTAAAAACCATACTCGTTGATATGGCAACAAAAAACAAGGTACTCTGACAAATTCCAAGACGCGCTGCCTTATTTTTGGCGACTATTTTAATTGCTTCGGAAAATCTTGGCTACTCATTCAATTATTTTCATTCAGTTCAAAGCAAATTTTTTACGCAATAGTATACATAGTATTAACTAAAGTTACACAACAAAATAATTGAGTAATGAGTAATTGAAGATATTCAAACTTTTGATAGTAATAGAAAATATTCAAACATTTGATAAAATTTGCATTGTTTGTTTTAGCCAACAGATTTTCGGTTTATTTTTAATACAAAATGATTGTTACTTTAAATCTACGTGTCTGTAATATATATATATATATATATATATATATATATATATATATATATATATATATATATATATATATATATATATATATATATATATATATATATATATATATATATATATATATATATATATATATATATATATATATATATATATATATATATATATATATATATATTTATATATATATATATATATATATATATATATATATATATATATATATATATAAATATAAATATATATATATATATATATATATATATATATATATATATATATATATATATATATATATATATATATATATATGTATATATATAATATATATATATATATATATATATATATATATATATATATATATATATATATATATATATATATATATTAAATGTATATATATATTAAATATATATATATATATATATATATATATATATATATATATATATATATATATATATATATATATATATAATATATATATATATATATATATATATATATATATATTATATATATATATATATATATATATATATATATATATATATATATATATATATAATATATATATATATATATATATATATATATTTATATATATATATATATATATATATATATATATATATATATATATATATATATATATATAATATATATATATATATATATATATATATAAATATATATATATATATATATATATATAATATATATATATATATATTTATATATATATATATATATATATATATATATATATATATATATATATATATATATATATATATATATATATATATATATATTATATACTAAAATAACTTTTGCAGTTTTGATTAACTTATTGGATTCCTTATCACAAAAAATAACCTAAAACAAGTAGTTTAACAAAATAGAAAACATATTTATTTTTATTTCTTTGTAAATACAAATTACAAAAAGAAGCAGAAGATGAGTTGATTTTACATTAATACAAGGAACATTGAAAATATTAAATAAAATAACAAGGAATATTAAAAGTATTTAACTTCTTTATATTAAGCGCATTTATTTCATATGAAAAAGGATGGCATGAGAAAAACGTTACTTATACGACTTACTACTTGCTTCTGTTGCTGAGAGAAATTTTTAAATTGTTTTTTCAAAACTCTCAAGTTTGCATAGTTAATATGACAATAAATTAATATGAAAATAAATTAATATGAAAATAAATTAATATGAAAATAAATTAATATGACAATAAATTAATATGACAATAAATTAATATGACGATAAATTAAAGAGTAATGTAAATAAACTTTAATTAGGTAAGTAACGTAAGTTCAAAACATTTTTGTTTTGTATTAATTGCCTATACTCTTTAAAATTTTATCAGGCATATGAGCAACGTGGTTTTTCCATGTATTATTTTGTCGATAAAAATACCTTATAATTTTTTTTTCTTTTTTGAAAGTTTTATTTCAAGGACTGTTCTGTTTTTTTTTTAGAAATTCAAAACTCGTGTTGTCGCGTCTGTCAGTAAAAGTCTAGAGGGGTTACACCATAAGTTTACCTCACTGGGTGACACCAAACTCAGCGACACCACGGTCAGTAATTATTTAATTTAGTTTTTTAATTAACAGGGTTTTTTAGTTGATGTAGTGTTTTAGATAGTTTTGTTTAAATGATCTATTTTAAAAGAAACACCTAAAACAAGATAAATCAAAATCTGTGTATAATCATGGAAGTATAAAACAGATGGAAGTTCATCGAGCCGTAAACATCGAAGCTATTTCAAGTCGTATCGGGAGTATGCTTGTAATCGATAATAAAAAAAAAAACAAGTTCCATTGGGTAAAAAAACAACAAAATTCACTGAAATGAAAAACATTAACAAAATGAATTATTCTAGGGATATGCTACAAAATTTTAACCATTAGTAATTGCAATTTTTCAGCAAAAGGTTTTTAAAACTCTAATTAAATAGAACCAATTGATTTTAAAAGCATATGTTAGTTTAAACTTCTTTTCTTGCTTCAAGTCATAACACGACATTTGATAAAAAAGAAAACTAAAACAATTTTCAAAAAATCAAAAAAATTGTTTTCTAAATAAAGTTTGAAGTTTTATTAGGTGTATATCATAACTCCATTCATTCTTGTAGTACTCCATTCATTTAATATGAAGTTTATAAAAAAGTTGTTTGCCTTTTTGTTGCGCCATTTTTAATGTTTTTCTTGAATATTATTGGCGAACCTTTATTTTTACAGGGTTATTCATTCTTATATGCGCGTCTATTCATTCTTATATGCGCATTTAATCATTTTTATATGGGCCTTTATTCATTCTTATATGCGCATTTATTCATTCTTATATGCGCATTTATTCATTCTTATATGCGCATTTATTCATTCTTATATGCGCCCTTATTCATTCTTATATGCATTTTACAAAAGCAATTGTAAAAAAGCAATTTAAACAAAAAAAAAAATCATTTAAGCAATTTGTTTTGAACAAACAGTTTATTTTTTCAAAGTAAATTTTTCTTATTTCCAGGTAAACGAGGTTAAAAATACTTAAAACGAAGACTTTTTACATTTGACGATGGTTTATTTAATTTCGTATTAGTTCTTTGTCGTTTTCTGATAAAAAACGAGGTAAAAGACCTACAAACTCTCAAATAAAAAATATTATCGAACTACGCGTACAAGAAAACAATCTTTGCACGCAAGAAGCAATAAAAAAAAATCATTCTGCAGCAGGCTTCAACATGTCTCAGTCTACTATTTCAAGAAAACTCAAACGCTCAGATTTATCAAGAAAACGTGTTGTGCATGTGCCGAAGAACGAAACTCAACACCAGTTATTAATGCACGCTATGCATTTGCAGCGAAATAAACGGAACTTCAGGTGAAAAACTTATTTATTTGGATGAAACTGGATTTAATGTGCACACTAACAGCACATATGGTTGTTTGCTAAGAGGTACGCCAGCAATTTTACAGTCACCTGCAAATCGTGGTAAGAATGTTAGTTTAATTTGTGCTGGTTCAACAATTGGATTGCTTGCTTATGAAATAAAAACTGGAGGCTGGAATGCAGATTTATTTTGTACTTTCATAACTACAATGATGGCACCAGCGATTAGGAATGCAAAGGTTGAAGCGCCGGTGCTTATTATGGACAATTGTAAATTCCACTGAAGTCTTTCTATTAAGCAAACACTAGACTTTCATGGTATAGCTATTAAGTATTATATTACATGGTATAGCTATTAAGTATTACACCTATTAAGTATTGATATTAATAATAATTATAAATAACTAAATTTAAATCTAGATAAATTAATAATTAGATAAATAATAACTTAATCAATCAAGAATTTTAATAATAAAATTACAAAGAACTAATACTAAAATAAATAAACTATCATCGAAAACAAAGAACTAATACTAAATTAAATAAACCATCGTAGAATGTCAAAAGTCTTCGTTTTAAGTATTTTTAACCTCGTTTACCTGGAAATAAGAAAAATTTGTTTAAAAAAAATAAACTGTTTTTTTAAAACAAATTGCTTAAATGATTTTTTTTTTGTTCAAATTGCATATAAGAATGAATAAATGCGCATATAATAATGAATAAATGCGCATATAAAAATAAATAAAGGCGCATATAAGAATGAATAACTGCGCATATAAAAATGAATAAGCGCGCATATAAGAATGAATAAAGGCGCATATAAAAATAAATAGACGCGCATATAAGAATGAATAACCCTGTAAATTATTATTATTATTATTATTTTTTTTTTTTTTTTTTTTTTTTTTTTTTTTTTTTTTTTTGTTCTTTTCTTGAATATTCAATATAGTTATACAATAAGATAGTTGAGATAAAAATCGTTATACAATAAAAGAAAATATATACAAAAAAGAAAGAACGCGGAGACTCGCAGAAGACCTTCAGGTCTTATCATCGAGAACCGCTCGTGAATATTAAGTACATTAAATTAACATGAAGTAAAAAATCTAAACAATGTCGTATTAAAAATTAGCGAGAACGTAAATTTCGTAATAATATATAAATAAAATTGGAATAAAGAAATTGTTGATACTCTTATATATAAATACAAAATATTTTAAAAAGTACTGTTTCCACAAACACATAAGTTATGGATCAGATATAATATTTATATATTACCTTATGTAATAAACTTTATATTCATTTTTAAAAGAATTTAAAAATATAAAAAAATGTCTTCAAAAGACAAAACAATTTCTTTTAGTTTTTTCTTGAATGAAAGATAATTCCATTCATGGGAAAAATCAAAATTTTTTAAAACTATTTTGTTCCATAGAAAAGCTCCTCGATATGAAATACATGACTTTCCAAAATTAGTTAAAGATAAAGGTTGCTGAATTTGATTATCATTTCTTAAGTTATATTTATTTTTATCTTTTAAGGTATATAGATTATGAAAAGAAACTGGAGATTCGTTGGTTTTACACATGAACATAAAACAAAGTATATTAAAAATATTTAGCTGATAAATATTAAGAATTTTCATTTGAAATAATAATGGTTTGGCATGAGCAAATCGATCTTTATAATTGATAAGCCGAGCAACATGCTTCTGCTGACGATAAAGAGGTAGCAGTTTAGATTTATTGGTATTATAAACGTACCTATTTGCGTCAACGCAAAAAGATTAGTCATTTAAGTACAGTCTTGATATCTTTTCTTATTGTTTACGAAACAAAAGGTTATGAGCATAGTCCCAAAGAATTTCAATGCAATTGAACTTCCATCTGTTTTATGATAGTGTCTATTGGCACGGCCGCCGCGTACAACTTCTAAAAAAGACTATTGGCACGGCTGCCATATAAACATTTAAAAAAAGATGTTTGCACGGTCAAATTGGCAAAATTTGAAATAGGACTGCACCGTAACTTTAGAATTAATTAATAGGTACAACAGAACAAATTAAAAGCTGAAAAGGAAGATCTGAAAGAAAATGACAGCTTTATTAATTACATAGAATTTTAAAAATATTGTAAAATAAACGCGAAAAAAACAAATAAAATTAAAAACTAATTTTTAAAACCTAGTGCTTTTATATGTTTTAAAAACAAAAGTTTTGCAATAATTTTTTTCTGATAATACTGTTTTATGTTATTAACATTCGGCTGTATGCGTGTATAAATTAACAAAAAAAAATCCAGGAAGAAGCAAGACTCGAACCTCCGACCTTCAGTTTACAAAGTCGACGACTTTACCAAATAAGCTAAACAACGCGTTTGAGAACACAAACAATTAGGGTGGAATGCAAGAAGCGAGCTCGACTTGAACTTTACATTGCAACCAATAGCGACACGGAAATACGTCATAATCTTTGCCGCGAACATCTACCATTTTAGCTGGTGGAAAATAAACTTTCGTTATGAAACGAAAACAATGGCAAAACATAAAAGTCTTTAAAATGCACAAGGGTTGTTGTGTCTTTAAGTGCTTTTTGATATATAGATATACGTGTAAATATAAATAATATATAAATAATATATTATTATATATATATATATATATATATATATATATATATATATATATATATATATATATATATATATATATATATATATATATATATATATGTTTTGTAAATATGTTTTTTCAAAATATTCGTAAACCGATATTTCTTTTTTTAAATTCTTTAAACCACTTTTTCGTAATAATTGTCCCGCTTTATTAACTCAACTAATCATTTGTTTTCCCTCATCCAAGATGCTAACAACTTGCGCTATTGTTATTTTGCATAACCACGTGACTTTCCGACTGCGAGGATGGGTTTTCCCCTCAAAAAATACTCTGCCGCTATTGGTTACAAAGTAAAGTTCAAATCGAACTTGACTCAAGTTCGCTTCTTGCATTCTACCCTTAGTATGCTTATTTATAAATTTGAAATTCTTCTTTCCATATAAAAAATAAATTTAATTAAAATTAACTAAACTAGTTAACTTATTGCATAACTAATTATTGAATATTGTATTGTCATCAAGCAAGAGTATGTATGCAAAATTTGAAGAAAATCTATCACTCAAAAATGATTGCAAGATTTGGTTTTGCGGCCGTGCGAATAGCCTTTTTAGAACGGGGACACGGCGGCCGTAAGATCAGCCTTTTTTAGAATGGGAACACGGTGGCCGTGCGAATAGCCTTTTTAGAATCGGAACACGGTGGCCGTGCGAATAGCCTTTTTAGAATTGGAACACGGCGGCCGTGCGAACAGCACGGCCTGTTTTATACTTCCTTGGTATAATAAACACTGCTTTGATTTAATTTCAAAACTGATAAAGTAAAGTATTCTTCACTGCAACAATGTTTAGAAAGCTTTTCCGTAAAAATGTTCAGCGATTCTGAATTGAAAAAGAATTCAGTTTTGAATAACATTTTGGTACAACAAAATTGTTTATGAAAAGTCTTGGGGCATACTTACGGTGCATTTATTTAAAACAAATTTTAAAATGTTTTGGAGACAGCCCACATTTTGTTTTATACATGAACTGTTAAAACTAGATGGATGTTAATTTTGAATATATTTAAGGTATCAAATCTACGTAAAAGAGGTTCACAAGGTACAGCTCTCCAAATACACATGCTTTTGATTGTTATACAGTTTTCTTAACTTAATGTGTTTATAACTTATCCGTACGATATTGCCGTAAGTTATATAACTATGCATAAAAGAAAAATTAAGATTTTTAAAAAAACAACTCCGATGTTTTTTGAGATGGAATTTAAATATTGTTTTCATGATAGATTTTTATCGTAATTCACTCCTAAAAAATGTTGTTTGCCTTTTAATGTTAGTCTAATTAATATGGAGATTGGTAGAATAAGAAGTATTTCTTTTTTTTTTGCTTGGTTTTTCAAAAAAGAAAAAATTTGTAGTTTGAACATTTAAAGACAGTTTGTTGCATATAAACCATTCATTTACTTTATTTAGTTCTTTATTGACTACTTTAAAAATATTTAAATATTTTTATGAGAATAAAATAAGATTGGAGTTGATGTCAAAAATAAATCGTTTATATATAGTAAGAGAAGTAAAGGTCCTGATATTGAACCCTGTGGAACTTAACAAGTTATAGTATTTTAGGTTATTTCTATGTTATCACATTGTACATATTGTTTTCTGTTCGAAAAGTAATTTTCAAACCAGTGTTAGTTAGAATAATCATGTTAATAAAAATCTTTTCATGATCATACTATTAATAAATGTATTTTACGAGTAGTTAAAAAGATATTATTTAAAAACTTTTGCATATAAAATTCGCAGAATGGTCACACAGGAGTAGTGAACCCCTGAGAGAAGAAATGAAGCACATTAGAATAAAAGAGAATTACTTTTCGAACAAAGCATATTTTGACAGCTGTCAAGACAAAAACAAAGATTAATAGAGAAATATTTAGTAATAAATTAGACAAAAGATGCATCTAAACAGTACTATTATAGCTATTTGTAGTGATTTATTTTTTACTACAGTATGGAATAGGCGTAAATTGCGGGGTAAAGCATAAGTGGCGATGACGTTTATCTGACAGGATAAACTAGTTATTAGTGCTGATTCTCATCAAAACGTCAGTAATAATTGACGCGATTCTGAGGAGATGTTTATTACTTAATCACCACATAAATTATGTTTGCTCATTAGCACTAATGTGTTTTTTTTTTTATATTCTGAGACCTTACATTGTTGTATGTATACTTTTTCTTTTGTAATCATTTTTTTGTTTTATAAGTTTTTGTTTGGTGATATTTGTTGTATATCTTTGTTCATATTAGTGTTTATAAAATAGTTTTTTTTATTATTATTTTTATTGTAAGAACTGTTTAGGTGCATTGTCTGTCTTTTTTTTTTTTCAATATTCGTCTATCAATCTTTATTTTAGTCTTGACAACTGTCAAAATATGCTTTGTTCGAAAAATAATTCTCCTTTATTATAATGTACTTTATTTCTTCCCTCAGGCGTTCACTGCTCTGTGTGACCACTCGGGAAATTTATATGACAAAGTTTTTAAATACTATTAATAAAAGTACTTTTTTAGTAGTTAAAAAGATATTTCATTATTATTAATAAAGATATTTTTTGATAGTTGAATGTTTTTAATAATAATAAAAAACGATATTTTGGACAACTTTAATATTCTTAAATAGTAATATGATTTTATTTTAAGAGAAAAATTAAAAGATCAGCAAACGTAATTTTTATTAGGTATAAGGTTTGGTTATTTAGGTTTAGATCATTGATAAGATTTAGAAGTAGAAAAGGTAGAAATATTATAAATATAGACCCTTAAGAAACTCCACAAGTAATACTTGACAAATTTGACATCAACAAATTTTTCACAAAAACAAATTGCATTTAATAAACAAATGCCTCGTTTATCTTTATTTAATAAACAAATGCCTCGTTTATCTTTATTTAATAAACAAATGCCTCGTTTATCTTTATTTAATAAACAAATGCCTCGTTTATCTTTATTTAATAAACAAATGCCTCGTTTATCTTTATTTAATAAACAAATGCCTCGTTTATCTTTATTTAATAAACAAATGCCTCGTTTATCTTTATTTAATAAACAAATGCCTCGTTTATCTTTATTTAATAAACAAATGCCTCGTTTATCTTTATTTAATAAACAAATGCCTCGTTTATCTTTATTTAATAAACAAATGCCTCGTTTATCTTTATTGATTTTGCTTCAGAGTAATAAAACTTACAATTAAAAATTTTTTTCAGTAGAATTTTGATCAAAGTTACATCATTTACATTCATCCAGAAATTTGTTAATGACCTACGTTTTTGCGTACAGAAGTACAACTCATACGCAATGCGAGTTCAAAATCAATGCCTGGATTTGAACATCGCGCAACAGTCCAGATTTTTGTAATTTTTATGTTGTTCTGATCAACCGAGTTAACCAGCTACTTTAGTTTATACACAAACAACTATGTGTACACAGTTTTTTCTGTTTAAGTTTTAGGTTTACGTTGCTTAATTGAGCCGATTTCAAATACAAAAATTGTGTTTGAAATCAGCTCAATTTTTTTATCTAGCAGCTCTTTGACACAGAGTAAGAACTTTTTTTGTAGTTTTGTTGTAAGGGTCTTTCTGGGATAGACGATGTTAACGATGATTAAATACTTGAGGTGACTGTATTGATTCAGTGTAGAATAATAATTTTTATGATATGAATATTTTATTTGGAATATTTTACAAATGCAAAATAATAATTTTTACTTTTTTAAATTCAAGATTCACTTTTCTTGGTTGCATACTCTGGACGAGATTTAGAATTTGCTTCTCTATGTAAAGGCTAGGAGATGTTAACTCTGACTTAAAATACCTTTTTATTCAACCAAATGCTTTTGAGCACTTGGTTGAATAAAATGGTATTTTAAATCATCATATGTCATCAATATTGCAAAATAAATTTATTTAACATTTTATATTATCATATGTTATCATCTTATATTATCATATGTCATCAAACGTTAACTTTCGTACTTTACTGATTGTATTCTCCCACAGTTTTTGGTTTTTCCAAACTCTAAATTCGACAGCTCTACTTATGAACTCTGAAACACTGAAAAGTGGCTTAATCAGAAAAAAAAAATTCAAGTTTTACTTTGGAAACCTCCAAGAGTGGTAGCACGTCTTGTGCAGTTTGTGCTGTACGATTAATGTCTTTCTCATTTAATTTCTGGATTTTATATGATTTATGAAACATTTGTGAATGTGAAATATTATGAACAATTCGTTTGGATAAATTTACTTCGGGAGAAAGCTTAGTTACTGTTGCCTTTAGATTTTTGACCATAAAATTGCTTATTTAATTTTGATTATTTTCATTGCATTTTCGTGGTCATCTGCTTCAATCTTGGTCTTCAATTGACCCAATCATTGGCCTTGGATCTGGTATTTTGGCATTTTTTCGCTTTAGGCATTTCAAAACCTCATCGCACTCTCGAATTTTGCCGTTAATACAACAATTTGAAGTCTGATAATTTAACTCCAAAACCATAATTTAATTTGAAATTGTTTTAAAAAGATAACTTTTTCTGGATAATATAGCATGCTATCAGATATACAGACTTTACTTTTGTCTTACATATTTAAGTTTACTTTTACGCATAGACTTTCTAATAAGTATACTTCCGTTTTGCTTTTAGACGCACTTTTTCACTGTATCAGTTTTCTTTTTTTTCTCCATCTCCACAAGACTGTTCACATTTTTATATTGTTTTGGATCAAATCGACCATCCATTTTCTTTTTATTATCAACCAATATTGTTGTTATTGATGATTTCAACGCTCATCACACTGGCTTGGCTCTGCTACCAATGATTCTGCACCAGAGCACATAGTTTTTGTATTTTTCAATCTCTCTCCTTCTAGTTAAGTCAAGCCTTATTCTGACCCATGTTTTTGACCTTCTTGTGCAGCTGCTATCTCTAATTATAAT